ATAATATTCAATTTTCACAATGCACCTTGTTTTCTGTGACTAACAAATGAGATACATGTAGCAAATACACATTAACACTGATGTAAATGTAACACTATACAGAGAGTAAGTTGCCATTTTCTTCATATTTGTTGTCAAGAAATTTACCCAAAAGTTCATAGTCAAAGTTTTCAGGTATCACAGTTTGGAAGCTTTAACTTGAGGTGTCCCCTCACTATTTCCTCATCATTTACATAAGAATGAAACTCGCTTTTATATTTTCAATTAATCAAAGTTCTTGATTTTATATTAAAGTCCCATATGATGAAGAGTCCATCAAGATTACCTCTAAAACAATGACAGTTTAATTAACGTTGCTACCCACCAGAAACCAGCTGGTTAAACACTGATGATACAATCACATATCAGTTTGCTATAGTGGGTGGACTGTTATTAAAAATATTCAGCCAAAAAATGTTTGACACTAATCACTACACTGCTTCCAGATTAATTGTTTGTTAAAAGCGACCAAACAACAAAAGCAATATTTCATGTACAGTATCCTGTCACCTCTCACTCACCCTCCTTCCTACACTATTCATTTTTGTTGCTGCTGCTAATGTTAGCATTTGCACACAAGCACCCATGATCATGTGTTTCAGTGCTAAAATGAATAAATAAACACTGCCCTCATTCATTCCTCTTCACTAGGTTGTCTCTCCTGGCCACTTACTTGCTTGGACCTAAAACTTCAGGTTAGCAAATAATGCATTAAATACATTAACACAAGAAGAAAAGCACATATTTGCTGTAATACACAGTGCAAATGGCTTTAGTAAAGCCTGAGGAAAAATACATATTTTTTAATGATTTTAATGAGGCTTTTTTCTGTCAAGCCAGTCTCAAGTCCTCAGATTTGCAACTTATGTCCGTCTTGAGTCAAATTGTGACTCGGGTCCCCCATCTCTCTGAGAATAAACAAACAAATTACTCTAGCAAATAACTCATGGGCATCTTTATGAGCTGTCATCTCTGTGGTCTGTCTAGTTAAAGAAACATAGCTGTCATGATTAGAAGAAACCAGTGATGCTGACTGTTGGTATAAGGCAGTTAAATTCACATGTTGATTAGGTCTTTCCCTCACCCTGTTCAACTATCAGAAAAGTAATTACCTACCCCCTTAAAACTAAAAAGGTAAAAAAAAAAAAAAAAAATTTTAAACAACCTGCTAAATGCTTAATTTTATTTCTGTAAAAGGCTCATATGTAAACGGCACATGTCAATTTCTATGACTGTGCTCACACAGACATAATAGCTCTCCAGATTTACACAAATTAAAAGCACAAGAATGCAGAGCTGATTGGTGTGTAATTTAAGGCACCAGATTTGCACTTATTTATTCTGCATTATTGTACAAATAAATGCTGCATAATGAAGGAAAAGGAAGTAAACAAAGTCTTTTCTCTAACTCTGAACACTCAGTCATTACTGTGTATTTACTTCTTTTTCAGCCTGTATACCAGCATGCTTTCAGTGTTCTGGCATACCTACACAGACAGCTGAGTGCTTCACGCAGCTGTAATACGTTTTGGTATTACAGTGAAAGGTCTTACAGCTATTACTGAGGCTTGATAAGGAGTTTTATGTGAGTCATATATCGATGCATGCTCTACAGTTTATTGATTTGATACATTGAGTTCACATTAACAAACCGGACAAGTACATGTAACACAGCACCCTACCAAGCCAGGTCCAGAAGTGATTTTGATGCTTTTTTTGTGTCATGGTGAAAAATATAGGCCTTTTGTCTACACAGTATTTTCTCATTTAAGTTAATGAAACATTAAGGTTTGTCTGTAAATGTGGCTGTGGAAAAAGTCAAAGGTCACCTATTCTAGTAGTCGTTCTGCCGTCTGATTTGTTCAGCCGTGTTGCCAGGCTGTGTTTGCCTCTCCAGAGATCAAAGGTGTGTGACTCGTGTCTCTGCGAGGACAGCTGAGAACACAGCATCCAACAGACTAATCCAATTAAGTGTGTTTGTTCAGGTCGTGATGTGCCTGAGCCAAAGTGGTGATGAAGGTTGTGGCACAACTTGGCGGCAGCAGCAGGAGGAGCGGGAGCCTGATGAGACTGATGTGTCCTCTGATCATGCACAGTCGGCGTGAGCATGAGACTGAAGATTTTTGCTTTTATAGTGATTCAGGATTAATTAAAAGGTCTGTAAAGTCCAAATAAATAAGCCGCCTTTAAGTTATTATAATTGGTGTGTTGGACACGAAAAATTTGACTGGTACAGAGGCTCTCAATGTGCATGTACATATCCCCATGCAAGGCAACAGCAAGGGGCAAGTAAACAATATACCAACATAAGGCTGTGTAGTATAACAAGATAAACGGTGTAAACAAGCAATAAACAATGCAAACAAAGGAATGTTCATTTGGAAATGAGAAAAAAAATGGAGTACTTAAAAAAATAGAGACCTGTGTGGATCTGTATAATCTGTACAGTGTATATTTATTGGTATTGCACTGAGGTCAAACTGTAGTGGATTCAGTGTTAATCAGAGTGACGGCCTGGGGGAAGAAACTGTCCTGGCCTGGTTGTCTTGGTGCACAGTGACTTGTAGTGCCATCCAGAGGGGAGGTGTTCAAACTGACTGTGTCCCAGGTGTGAGGGGTCTGCAGAGATCTTCTCCACCCTCCTTTTGACCCGTGAGGCGTACCGGTCCTCCATGGGGGGCAAGTCAACTTGGACCCAGCCCACACTTCATATTAGAAATGCAATAATACAATATAATGTATGTTTTCTACTTTGGAAAAAAAGTTTTATACTTATTAATATAGTCTACTTGACAGTTGTTACAGCGATCCTGGCCTAAAAGTAAGGCTAAACATAACTATGTCCCTGTTTGACACTGTTGTCATGGCAATGTTGACAGCCAGCAAGCTTATGACGTTTAATGTCAACAAGGCTCAAGGCTCGGCTAACAGGTGACCGGGTTAGCTAATGGCTACAAGGCATTCACGTTCTGTCCTTCTGGCATGAGAAAGTAAGACTTTAGTTTGCATGCTCACACAACTTTTGAAGGAAAAAAGTTTATGAATTATATAAGACTTCCCCTTTACTAACAAGGAAGAGTAACACACCATATGCAAAAGTGACTTCCATTCCTTCCTCAGTAAAATAAGGTGCAACCTTGAAGCTGAGGTGTCCTTGTGTTACACCGGGGGATGTTCAAAGACAGCATGTTCAAAACTGCTTTAATGAATAGAGTTGTGTGATGAAAGCAAGGTTTTCCTCAAGGCTTGAATCCCTGTGTGACTTTGAAACTATTATTATATCTCCAGAAATTGTCTTGTTGCATTTGAACAAGTTAGACCCCACATTGGTAGCTGCTTATAAGTCCTGTCTGCAAAATGAACCGTTTCTCCTTTTTAATTTAGGGTGAGCACATTCTAATGGAGTTGAAATGATGATTCTCTCAGGACTCGTAGAGCTGGTTGGGTTTCATTTCATCTGTTTTAGATGGTCACTAAACATCCCGGTGGAAATGTTAATTATGGACTCAAATGGCTTTGCATATTGCATCAACAAATCCACACACACTGTCATGTCTTACTATAGTCATGAGGACTCCCATTGGTGTAATGCATTCCCTGGCCCATTAGCCAAACTTTAACCATCGCTACTAAATGCCTAACTAATCAATACTTACTGAACCGTAGACTAAATCTGGCTGAGTATCTAAAGAATAGGCCAGAAATCAGCTCATTATGTGCAATGTTGTGTGTGTGTGTGTGTGTGATCAATATGTTTTCAAGGGTTTTGTAAAATCTATATAGATTTTTTTATTTTATTTTATTCAATGTTATGAGCATCACTAGAAAGCACTGTTTGAGCACATGCTTTCACCAAGGATTTAATTCTGCACACAAATATCAATCTACTGTGAACAGAAAAAGAAAGGCCTGTGTTTCAAAGCCTGGGTCTAGACCTCTGAATTCAAATTCTGCATCAAACAAGAAAAAGGCTACCCGTTCTGATTAACAAGCTAGTGTTTCAGGCTTAACTGGTGGAGTTGCAAACATGTTCACCAGGCATGGACTGATCAAATGGTTGCAGCATGGAAATGCAGGATTCAGCCTGACTATTGTGGCTAAAAGTCTCTAGTTAAAAAGATTGTTTGCAATACATGTGGTAAAAAAATGAACTGTTGTAACAGTATATTAATTGAAACCTTAAAAGCTATGTGAAAAATACAACCCATATTTCAGAAAACACAAATATCAGGCTAGGTTAGTTTCACTGCTATGTGCAGAAACACCTTGATTATTGTTCAGTGGTGCATCTAGGAATACATAACCAGCCACCTTTTGTATTACAAAAGGAGTGAGCTTCAAACTCGTGTGGTTTTCCCTCGAAACATTATCTAAAAGCTTTTTACTGACTGGCTTGTGAATCCAGGTTCATACAAAATTGCAAGTTGCAATGGTAAAACGTTCTTTGAAAATTCCTGGTTCTACATCTGCCATCAGCTCCAAAAATTAACCAACTGACCTGTAAACTGAATTTCCACCAAATTTGATTGAAATCTCTTGGTGTGTAGAAAAGATAATGGTACAGTAACTTAATGGTATTGCAACAAAAACATGGAAAATGTTATTGCATCTCTTATAGTGCTAATGTGTGTAATCTTGCATGATCATCTTTTAGATTTTTCTGAAGCATCACTTTGTGTTCCTGGTGATAAGCGTTGCATTCTGTGCTGCTTGTCTTCTCTTCAGATCCCTAGGGGTAATGGTTTATTAGCATGCATTTCAGTGTCATTTTTGAACACAAGTCAAATTCAGCTATTTCCAAATCTTAAATAAAATTCTGAGTGCTGCCCTTGTTTGACTAAATGACAAAAGTTGTGCTTAGAAACAAGCTTCTCCCTTTTCCAGAAAAATGACTATAAATGTCAGGAATTGCTCTTGTTTTCTGCTCAAATTTGATGTATTAATTCCTCCAAATCTCTCAGGTGCTGTCCTATACATCATGCTGTGTATTCAGTCATGTATAAATTGGTGTGGGAAGGCAGCTTGACATGTGATTACCAGCACACACAGGAGATAACTGCAATCAAACAACTTGACAACAACACTGCAGCTGAGCCACCAGGTAACCATTTTGTTCTATGCATCAGGTGGCCCAGTGAATAGTAAACACCCACTCCTACTCCAATAATGTGTGCTCCATGTTGCTAACCTCTCCAGGGTGAGGCATCAAACCCTGCAAAGTCAATTTCTCTTTGCTTATTAGATCACCCACAGCACAATCAGCAGCAGTGTGTTGGAAAATAAACATCCTACTGTTGGGTGTGTGAGAGAAGGCCTTAGCAGGGTCCTGCAGAAGAGAGTTTTTGACTTAGGAAACACATTTTCAACTTTAAAAACACCTTTTATTATTGTTATGCTGCTGTCACAATTAGGGCAGTTTAGTTTCCATACACAAACATTATTCCTTTATAAATCTGTCTTCATGGAAATATTTTTGACAAATATATATTTTGGATATTAGGATTGATTTAATGGAAAAAAAAAACACTCCCAGTTTATCTTGTCATCAGTTAGTATTCCTGTAAACATTTTTTAAGAAAAGTTGCCTCAAGTTGTGAGTTTCTTTAATATTTGAAACATAAAACACCTAATAATTTGCTGCTGGTTCCTTTGGCAGGAAACTCGATTAACATGATTTCACATCAATTTTCTCTCAGAATGTTTCCTCGAGAAACTGCCACAGGCAACTAATCTCAGCATAATAGCAATATATCTGTTTTTATTATTAATATGTATAAAAAAAATCACATATTTAAATTTTCTAGCTGCCAGAGATTGTTTTGATAGGTCAAAAACGTGATGAGTTTTGTAAGGCAATCAAGCCTAAAGGCTTTGTTTTCTTTTCTTGGCAAGAGATTAACATCGACACATTAAAACCAACTAAGAGGAAGTAATTGGTTATAATGACTCGTGTTCAAACAACTCTAATCTGCACTATTTGTTAACGCTTCATCTGTGTATGGTCGTAGGTAAGATTAGGATTACTGTACAATTAGATTAATAGTGTAGCTGGGACACACACATGCCAAACACAGATTATCTCACTCATCCCGCAGATAAAATGTAATACCAGAGAGTAGTGTAGGTGTGGATTTTCTCTAAACATAAACACTTAGTGAGAGGATTTGTGTAAGATGTTTGATGGACAATAAGTCTGACATTTTATTTCAGCAGTTAAAGTATCAGAATATTATCAGCACTTGGCAGATGTGTTAAAACACAAATAAATTGTCCTAAGACAAATTTTTCCTATTCAAGGCTATAGAAATTAGTAGCATTATTGACAGTAGTTGATTTGTAACATCAAAAATAATGGTTTATATGTCATTGTAACAGCTACAATAATATGTTCTCCTGGTATTATTATGCAGTTGGAGATGTCCTGACCTGCACACACCACTCTCCTCAAACCTCATTTATATTTACTGTAGCTTTTTACACTGTCACCTCACTAAGTTTCAATCCACTGCACACAACGAAGACCAATATGACAGCTTCATTACAGTATACGCCTAAAGACATACTGCAGTATAAGTAACATGGCCTTGGGTGTAATTACCATAATTGATTGTAAATCGAACAATACATGCACAATATAAAGTGAAATAGATTGAGGCCTCAAAGCTAAATTTGATGCAGGGTCTTCCATAACATGGGGCAACAGAACCAGGTAACATGGCAGAAGAGACTAGAACAAACAATGAATCTGGGGGATTTTGGGTTCCTGGTAGCATGGAGTTGCCCACTTTGCCCAGGGGGTAATCTAGCTTTGGCCACGGCCTCAACTTGTCAGTAGCAGCTATATATATTTAGTTTTTTGTTCTGAATGCCTATGTTTTCTAATGAATAGAAACTAGCTGCTATGTTAAATAATTCTGAATTAATATCGGCTTGGAAATAAATATTAGGAACTTTCAAATAACTGCGATTTCAAATATATGATGTAAAAAAGATCTAATACTGTATAATTCCTGTAGTCCTAGGATCCTCAGTAAATAGAAGCTGTGTCCCAGTGTCCCATTTCGAAGGCTCCTTCCAATGTGGCTGAGAAATGTGTTGTCCTTTCGCTGGTCAACGGAGACTCCAACTGGTGGATCTTTTGCAGCTAACCCTGTTCCAAGAGCCTTTGCACACTGGCAGAGGCAGAGCGGCTCTCAAGGTTTCTAGGCAACAGTAGGGGCAGGTAAATACAATCCTCCTGGAAATCAGACCATCTCATTCAGTTCAAAATTTGCGGTCTACGGTGGCATTAAAGGCCACGCCTTTGTAGACTGCGACCTTCTGCGACTGTTTTCTGAGACACAGCTACAGAGATGTTTAATGACATTGAGTATACAGATTAACAGGCCTCTGACACAAGTGAGCACATTCTACTCGCAGTGTTGACAAATTAATCCAGAAATACAGTTCATGAATAAAATGCATGAGTAGTTTGAGGGTGACATAATTTAACAGCAGTTACTTGCAGCACATTTGTGCTGGCTTCTGAATGATTCTGCAGTTGATTTGAAGGGTTGCCCATAAACCAGTGGTTAGACTATAATTAACTTTTGTGTAGTTATGTTGAAAGTCTTGGTCTAGGACACTGGAGGGAGAAAATCTCTGACACAAAAGTCCTTGACACACCTAATTCAGTATTCTGTGTAATCAACCTTCAAGTGTCATAATCTCTGAGATAAAAATGTAAACACTTCACCTTTCTTTCCTCCCTCACTGCAATTTGACTGTGGGCCAGATCACGTTCTCCTTGTGAAGCCCTGTTGATTTGTCATGCTATGGCCCTCCACTCTCTCCCTGGCCTCAAAACCGCATTATGAACCTGAGCCTCCTCTGTTTACAAGGCACTTCTCTTGATGGGCACAGTGAATCTCCTAGATGGACAGAGCCCCTGCATAGTGAGCCAGCAGCAGAGTCAGTTGTGCAGGAGCTGCTGGCTATGTCTTGCTACTGATTAAAATAAAGAGTTTAATTTAGTTATGGTTCATTGAGAATCTGCCTACAATGTTTTTATTTACATTCATGCACCATGCTTTCGCCTTTGCAGACTGTTTTTCTTTCATACCTCAGACAAATAAGTTAGCGGGGTTGGAGACTAGCAGAATTAAAGCTAAGTAGAGGGAATTCATTGTTGGTTTTAGTCTCAATATGGGGATTGTTGAAAAGCCTAATGGCTAACCTTAGGCGTCCATCCACCCTCTATCTATACTAATCTCAGCTGACATTGGGCAAGATTAAGGATTCATTAGACCTGCAATGTGTTCTAGTTAATGTAAATTTATTTTTTGATAGTTTTCTTTTCAAGTTAGAATGGTTTCAAAATCTTGGAAATATATCGCTATTGCTGAGATTCAGTTTGGTTTGGACAGAAACAGCTGGTAGAAACGTCCTTTGAAGGGCTACATTTTATTTTTATTCTATTGAGTACATTTCAGAGTCTACTTTTTACTTTTACTCTCATAGAGTTTGAATCACTACTTCTACTAGCAGTCTTTTTTTTTTTTTTTTTAACACAGGCTATTTGTATTTCTACTTGAGTAACGAATGTGTCCCCATCTCTGCAAATGAGTAGCTCAGAGCCCAGCTGCTGTCTTTAGACTGATAGTCTTTTACTAAACCTGCTGTACTTCATTGTAATGTATTTTTACTCTACAATGTTTATACATTATGCTACATAAACTGAATTAATTTCTAAATTTATATTTACCACATTCAAATTATTTATTTTTTAAATCTATAGTATTTTATCCCAGCCTGTTCCTGTTCCTTTTACTTTAAATATAATATTTTGTTAGTTTTTTAAACTCTAAAGAAAAACAAATTACTAATTTCTAAGGTGAAGTCTGAAATAGAAACTGTATATTGTATAAATGATTATATATTTAATATATCTTACCTTGGCAAAAATACCCAGGGACTGAGACATATCCACAGAATTACTGTACCACACAACCAAGCACCAGACCATATAAATGTTTAAAAACCCATTTTATGGATGTGAATCTAGAGCTGTCTCATGCTTTTGAATACTTCAGAAGGTCCTGAGGATATGATGATGTGGATTTTATTCAGTAGTTTTCATTGCAGAACAGAAAAGCTTTCTCTGCTCCTGCTTGCACAGATGACAACAGCAGGCAGACCTCTGCCCATGTTCATTTTTATACTGTAAGTGTTAAATATGCAGGGAAATGTTTGCTGAGCACACGGGCTCCTTCATAGTACAGCTCAGTTTCTTCCTAAAAATTTAAAAAATATTCACATTTGGAGGCCGCTCAGTATAACCAGTGTTCTGCTCCTTGCTAGACGGGCTCGAGGGCAAGTGTCTTGCTCAAGGGCACTTTCATTGTAGCTCACTCAACCTCACCAAACAGAATCTTCCACATGGTCAGTGAACCGATAGGACTGAACTACTGTCCCTACATACACACAGCCACATTTCTTTAGGCTACAACTGTCCCTGTTGTGCAGAATTTTGTGTTACAAAAGGGCTAGAACAGCAGCTATTATTAGGGAGAACTCATTCACCTCCTCCCATTCCTCACCGTGTTATGCTTATCTAGCCAAACATCAATGACCAAGAGGTCATTAAACACAAACAAGCATAACCAGAGGGCAAAAGACTCGCGGGAGGAATTCACACACTGCATTTCTTTTCCCCACTGTTACTGTAGAGCATACTGTAGATAGGGCCACATAGTTCTGTCCAAACCTGACCCCTGCCCAAGAGTATTTCTGTCCCTAACCCTTAGGCAGATGTTTTAGAGACTCAAATAGTGTTTTATAGCAGCCTTAATAGCTGTATCTAAATGGAGCTGTCTGTCTTTGTCTGGTCTGATTATGAGGCTGATTTGCTGTTTTATAGTTTATGAAATTCAAAAGGACAAGTAAGTAGACTAGTTTTTCATCAGTTCAAGCAGTGGTCAACAGTGACTGGCTCACAAAACCCTAAAACCCCATGAAGATTATAGAACAAATTATGAATCCTGTGATAAAAAAAAACTGTCTATCAGAACAAATCTTGAATTAGAAATGAGTTGTCCTCTTAAATTGGTTTTATTTTGCTCCATTTCCCCTTTCAGTGCTGTTGTATTTCCTGTCTAACCAGACATAATAGGTAGGACCCTAATGCAATCAAAGTGGATTTTCTATTCTCAATGATTTGTTGATGCAAGTACTGTAAAGACATTTTGTGCTGTCGTCTTGTATCATAAGCCCATAGAAAATCACAAATTGTGTTTTTCAGACTGCCACTCATTCAGAGGAAGCTATCTCCTGCTGAGAGAGAGAATTTATTTGCATTTTTTTTGTCTCATTCAGTGAGTATGCTGCTGTCTTCAGTGTCTAAATCTAAGCCACACAGACTGGTCAGCACTCTCCATTAAGAAAGGAAAAAAGACGGAAAGGGGTCAGAAAGATAAATGATCCAGCCTCTAGTACTGGTCAAGTAATGGAACATAATTGGATAGTCTTTGGGAGATGGTGAGAAGAAGAATGACAGCTTAGTAAAATCAGGGAAAGCTGCTGATGGAGAGCCAGCCTACACAGAAGAGGAGTGACAGAACTGACAGAAAAGTAAGGGATAAAATACATTTACTGCCAGCCAAATGTGACTAGTGTTATAGAAAAAAATGGTATGATTTTCAGATCTGTTCCATCCCAAACACTCTGATGTTACAATCTAAATTCATTATCCTTGCTTTATTTTATTGTTTTTTCCTGTAATGTGTATAATAAAAAGTATCACAATGTAAACGCCTTTGTAAATTAACCAGCAGTAATCAAACCTGCAACTCCAAGCAGAGTCTTTAACTTGAGATAATCTCTCCTGATGCTATAGTTGGGCTTATATAACAGCTGAGGCTAGTGTGAATGTCATTAGTTTTGCAGGTATTGTATTGGCCTGGAGATCACAGAGTAGGCTTCACCCCAGTTCATCCTGAGAGGGAACATGAATGACTGTAACAAGCACAAAGGCAATCCATCCAACAACTGTGAAGGAATTCAAAACCAGAAGTATCAGCCTCATAATGCCAGGGATAACAAAATCAACAGGATTCATTAAGTCAGTCTTGTGTGAAAGTTTTGTGCCACCCCATTCAATAAATATTAAGATATTTCACACAGTAAGAAAAATGTTTGTCCTGCTTTTGGCACTAGATGAAATGTCCTCGGAACTCATCCCATGGGAATTGTGAAAATTTGTGGAAAGTACTGCTCATCCTAAGGATGGGAATCCATGAGATAGATGTTCACTGTAGCACTACAGTAAAGATAATGGCTGTGTAAAACATAATTTGAACTACATGCAACAAAAAAAAAATTCTGGTTTAAATGAAGTATCTGGCAGTCAGTTAAAAAGCCCTGATAAATTAGAATTTTTTATGACAATGTACGTTTATGTGTGTTGGCTGCTCTGCTGTTCTCTGTGTCTTGTTTACTTGTCATTGCTGTACAGAAGAACATTGTACATACACATTGAGAGCCACCGTACCAGAGTTAAATTCCTCGTGTCCAACACACCTGGCAAATAAAGCTGATTCTGATTCGGATTCTGATGAATTCACCCTCAAAGAACCTTCAGTCTGTCAATCAGCCAACCCACCGCCTTCAGAGAGCCTCTGCTGGCAGTACCGAAAGTCTGATGCTCAGCATCCCACTCCAGCCTTGTAATGAGATCTCTGGGCCATCTGACTGAATTATTCTGATGGTTTTTAGCAGGTTTGTGCCTCAGGTCCTGACACCCCTCACTGATAAAGCCTGGCTATGAAAGAAAATAAGCTCAAGTGATAGACATACAATTTGAGGATGAACTGTTTACATAGAATCATGGGGGTATTCATTTCGTATTAGGATCAACCTTTCAACCCCTATTTTTCAACATAATACATCTCTTATAGGTTTATTTAAAAATGTAAAGAATTCTGTCACATCCTTCATCTCTGCTGCCAGGTGTTCAACCTCTGAACCTCCTTTGACTTGAGTCTAGCTAGCATTGATAATAAGTATCTGGAGACCAGGGTGAGCTAAATAAAAGCTAGTGTTGCTTGATAGACACTGAATAGCAGCAATCTGCAGGCTTCCTCTGGTTGCATTGTGGTGGATGAAAGTTGTAAGTAGCTTCAAAAATGCAAATGAACAGAGGCTCACAAACAAACTTAATCAACAGTTAATATTGCAGCTGTTTCAAAGACTGAGTATGCATGCCAGAAATAGGTTTGCACCTCTTTAATTTGAGCAAATTAATGATTTAGCTGAGCTTTAGCTGAGTCAAGGCATTCATTGTGACTAATCTTTATCAAGCTATGCACTGATGGATGTGGAAATGGAAGTGTGTGAATGAATGGATGGAATATGTAGATGCATATTTAGAAGTGTGATACATTTCCATGTTCACTCTTGACATGTCTTCTAATTTATAATTCTTTTTGATTAATGGCTGCCATGGGCCACTATATAAGGACTTCAGACCTAATTGAAAAAGCTGTAAATCATTCTTTGCTTGCAAAATACAATGTTGTCAGCCAAACCTTTTTTTTGTTCAGGTACTACGGAAAATGTAGGTTGTCCTAATGTAGCCAAAATAACAGAATTAGAGGCCAGATTTTACTTTTAATAATATTTAAGTTGCACTCAGGATTTAGCTTAGTAACCATGTGTAGAATAATTTTTTGTGTCACAGGAATGAGTTAAGATCCCTATAAATTGAAACATTCTGCAGTTCTGGAATATGACAAGGATCAAGATCAGGCTTTGGCATGTGGTAGATCTTATGTGGATTTTATTGTGCAACTTTTGTCCAAGCATTGTATGCAATGCAATTGTATGTGGAGTTAGAGGCAAGCATATTGAAATTGACTCTATTTCACACTGGTGAAGAATACTTAAAAAAAAAAACCCTGGATCCGGATGGTGATCCAGATCAGCAGCAAGATCTAGTTGATTGTTCTGTGGGCCATACCCTACTTAAAAAAAAAACACATTCAAATGTGTTCAATACATTTTGAGAGCTGTGAACAACAAACAAACCACCAAAAATATTACCTCTGCTCTCCTGGTTAAAGGAAAATATTGTTGGTAAGGTTAAAATAATTAACAGTTGGTTAAGGTTTGACGAACGCCATGGTTTGTTACATATGGGACTGTGTAGACACAGACCCGTCAGAGTGCCCATACTGACCCCTATCCTCCACCAAAAGCCTCTACAATGGGCACTTGGGTATTGGAACTGGATGAGAGAGCAATGCAAGAAGGTGTCCTGGTCTGATGAATCATGTTTTCTTTTGCATCACATAGATGGCTGGCTGCATGTGCATTGCTTACCTGGGGATGGGAGTGGCACCAGGATGCACTATTAGAGGAAGGTGAGCCAGTGGAGGCAGTGTGTTGCTCTGGGTGATGATCTGCTCTGAGAGCTTGGGTCCTACCTTTCATGTGTATGTTACTTTGACACATACCACCTACCTAAACAAAGCTATTCCCTGATGGCAGTGGCCACTTTCCGCAGGCTAACGTCCCCTCCGACTCTGCAAAAAGTGTTTAGGAATGGTTTGAAGAACATGACAAAGAGTTCAAGGTGTTTCCTTGGCCTTTAAATTTCCCAGATCTCAATGCAGCCAAGCTTGAAATACAAGTCTGATCCATGGAGGCTCAACCTCACAACTTCCAGGACTTTAAGGAGCTGCTGCTGATGTCTTGGTTTCAAATACCAGAGGACACATTAGAGGTCTTGTGGAGTCTGTGCCTCAACTGGTCAGAGCTGTTTGGTGGCAAAATGTGGACCTACATAATATTAGGCAGGAGGTTTTAATGTTGTGGCTGATCAGAAAAATAAAGTTATTTCTGGAGAGGAGAGTCTCATGTATAGCTTGTCATCAGATGATGAATCGATATTTTAACACCTTGATCTTTTTAATCACTATTATTATTAGGCAAGAATTTACTTATACTGAAGAAATAGTAAAATCTAAAAACACCTCAACACACTAAGCAAGAGAAAAAGCCATTATATACAAACTTGTGGCTGAGCGGGGCCTTTCTGTGTGGAGTTTGCATGTTCTCCTCATGCCTGTGTGCATTTTCTTCAGGTACTTCTGCTTCCTCCCACATGTCCAGAGACATGCAGGTCAGGCTGATCGGTGGCTCTAAATTGTCTGCAGATGTGAATATGATTGTGAATAGTTGTCTGTCTCTACGTGTCGGCCCTGTGACAGAGTGCTGACTTGTCCAGGCTGTACACCACATCTCGCCCAGCGCCCCCCACCCTCTACAAGGTAAGCGGTATGAATAATGGATGGATGGATGTTCCAGTGCTGTTATCTCGGCTATGAGACTTTAAAACATAGTGAGACAGTTTCCTCATTAAACAGACTTGCCATGACTCTTGTGAGCTTGTTCATTCTTCCATTAAATTTAATTGGAAATCCAAACAAGTTTGTGTCAACAGTTTTCACTGGGAACTGACAACCCGTCTCCTAGAAATGGCATTTGTATACAACAAACATGCAACATCAAACACACTGAAACATAATTGTGACTGGATTATATTTTTTATTAATGAGGGTATGTTGTGAGGATTTGGGGAAAAATTTTAGCTTTTTACCAGAATATCTTGTCTCACACTATCCACTTGTTATGACTACAGCACTATTAAACTTTTTAATGGTTATGTATGGCGCTCACAGCACTTGGTTAAGGCGCTTCATTCATGCTTTCAAAAAGAGTATTGCCTCTAAACACAATCCAGCCAGGTATGAATACAATTCCTACTGTGTTTAAGATAGAAAATACTGAAAACCTTTGACAAGAATTTTGGATTTTCTTTACTAACCTGGACATTGTTTCTGGGCAGGTCATTGCTCTTCAGTGATCTTTCTAAGCAGGGAGCATCATAAATGCAAATCCCATAATTCATCCATTATATGAAGGATTAAAGGATTAAAATTCATGGTGGCAGATATCTGAAAACTAAAACAACAACCAACAGCATTACTGTAGGTGCCACATGTTAAATAGGAATATTTCTTTTCTTTATAATTTGGCTGAAATTACCATTTATAATAACCTGTTAAAACTTAACCAGTTTTTTTTTTTTTTAACTTGGAACTGACTTGACATCAGTAATTTTATTCATTACTGCAGGATTGCTATGACATGACATGTTGTAGCTCTCAGTCTTTCTTTATTGATTGCCTACTATATGCTTCCCTTTACACAAGTATGCGAGCAATTTCATTCACCTTTCAACATCAGTCACTTCATTTTCAGCTGCTTTGGATTAGGTTTCAGTCAGTGGAACTTCAGAGCCACATATTCAGCGTGTGATCATATGCAGCCAGGGCCTGTTACTTTGATGATAATGAGACTGGATCATGGGATTGGACACGTTAGACATAATACAGTTCATTCAAGGATTGGAAGCTGTAATATATGTGTTATTGCTTTAACTGTGATGCTGAAATTGATTAGGAGTCTTGTTTGAAAGGAGAAAACTTCTATTTTGGCGAGATTCATCAGGCATTTTCATGCGGTTATCAGTCGCTCACAAGCAAACTGGAAGCTGTAATTGCTTTCCAAATTGCCTCTTTGAGCACTGCCTAACTCAATTAGTTTTGGGATAGTGTTTGTTACAGTATCACTCTAACTGTTGCAACTCATCTGTGTGAATATTTCAAACTCACATTGGCAGTCAATTATATCTGTATTTGTAACGTGTCAGCCAGCATGATTAGTTAATTATGTTTGCACTCTCTAACGATGGTGAGAGACTGCCAAGTGTTTCTGAGAACGATTCTCCATCTCTCATGTTGCACTTCTCACACATACCTTTGGTTTCTTCCAATATCTAAACCAGGAGGGAAAATCAATGGTAAAGAATAAATTCTTATTTACATGTGCACATGCGGAGTGTGGCTTGTCAACAATCCATTAGAGGAGAATTAGTCAGAATGAGACTCAAATGAAAGGAAGAGAACAATAAATTACAAGGAGATGAACACTGCTGGATCCTGGGGAATAAAATTTAAATTCATTCATTCAAAAAATAAATGCACATAAAGGACCATGGCGGATGGCGTCAGATATCGGATATTG